GACACATCTGTACAGCATCCGCATCTGCACAGCCTGGGGGAACACAAATGGAGCTGTCATGTGGCAGGGGGCGGAGCTCGACAGTAGGACAGTCTCTTCACCATGAGGTACTTAAAGTAGCCCAGATCAGACATCCCATCTTCAGAGATGCTGTCTTGGATGCCCATCCTAGAGAAAGAGTCCATTCCTCCCCATGTTTTATTGAATTAATTGCACTCAGTAGGCAATGATCTTGTCTCCGGAGCCCTGCCTCATTCAATTCTCAATCTCTAATGTTCATCACAACATGAGGGTACTTCAAAAGGTTCCTGGAGAAATGAACACACAAGTTTGTTTTGTTGCATTTTTTTTTTAATCCAGGCATAGTTTTCTCATACCATGCAATTCCTATAAATTTTCTGAAAATTTCTCACATGTAATACCTGGTAAGCTTGCAGTAGGCTTCTGGAATGACACTGCATTCTTATAAACTACAGGAAGATAAGAATGGCCCTACTCAGGACTAGCAGCTGGTGTAATGGCTGCGTCACTGGACTCCCATATAGTTGACCACGGTTCGAGTCCCAGATCTGGTGACTTAAACTCCTGCTGGGTGAGTGTGCGTACGTGTCCAAGATCCCAAAAGAAGAATGGAGGAGAAGGGATTGTGGCATGGCCATCCCCCGGGGGCGGGGGGGTGACTTCTCACTTTCTCTCTCTCTGTCCTTCTGGCAAGCGCATGTGCCCTACAGCAAAAACCTCTTAAAAAAAAGAAAAAAAGAAATTTTTTTTTCTACCCTATGACCTCCTCAAATAAATAAATAAATGGCACTACTCCTCTATCCCTCTGTCCTTCACTGTCCTAAAAAAGAAGGGATGTTAATCTGATTAAGTAAACTTGGACAACACTGCATAGACTAAATTTTTTATAGCGATATTTCTTTACTTAGCGTATGTGTGTCATAGACTATAGAGACAAAAAAATTTGCATTTGAAAAAATTGCACTGCCACTTCTTAGTGGTTAGAAACCTGTTAAAAATTGTGGCTTAACCTCTTTGAGTATCAGTTTTCTAACTTGTAAAATAAGGATGCAATATCATAGCAAATCCTTATGAAGATTAATTCTAGAAGGATAAAGTTATTTAGTACATAAGCTATAAAACATTGTATTACAAAAATAAACTGTGGGCCAGCAGGTGGCATAGTGGGTAAGGTGATGGATTCCCACATAGCTGACCATGATTCCAATCCCAGACTCAGCATCTTGAAAATCATGCTAGGCACATGTGTGTGCATGTCCAAAACCCTGAGAGGAGAATGAAGGAGAAGGAACTGCAGTCTTAAGCCACTAGATCCAGGACTCAAACTGTGGTCGACTATGTGGGAGTCCAGCAAGATAACCATTATGCCATCTGCTCATCCCAATCATATTCATTTTTGCTCAAGCATAAAATTATCACCATCAGAATAAAAGTTGTGTTGCACGGTAAGGGAGCGAAAGGATTCAAAAATAATCTGTGTGCCCATGGGGCTCCTTTAGTCACGTGGAGATGAGTGGGTGAATATGCATGAATATGTAAGAGAGCCTTTCAGAAAACATCCTTGGTACTCTGTGTCATGAGGCAATCACGGGGTGCAGAGGAATCGGCCATCAGGAGCCTCCCAGGGTCACTCACCATCTCCACAGCCCTTCCCTGGGTCTGCGGCTCTTTCTCAAAGACTCCCTTTTTTCCATTTATCAAATGTTGTATTTCTTTCTGCGCTCTGTTTCTTCTTAATCCTGAGAAAATACAAGAAGATCGTATTTGAATACATGAACCTTTAGATAAGTGTTACACTTTCTATCTCTACAAGATAGCCAGCATTGCTCACTGTCCATTCAGAAGAAATGCATCAGTGGAATTGTTTCCAGGAAGAGAAGACACTTGAAGCAAATACAGAACAAACAAACAAAAAACAACAACAATGAGAAGCTAAAAACTAAAATCTTTTTGCCTTTTTTTTGCTCCTAATATAGTAGGAGTATGGATTTTCAAAATTACTTTATTTGTGATGTAGATATTTGTGTGCAACTAAGAAAAATGTAGAAGTAATAACTTCTAATCCATGAAATTCCAAAATGTGTTTTCTAATTTTCTATAGTTCTCCCATATAAAAATTCTAATCTTTTTCTTTGTCTGAAGATTTAACCTTTCCTTGCTTGAATATTCACCTTTATTTCTTTTAAATGTTTACTTCTTTTGTTTATTTATTTATTTTTCTGTGAGAGAGTGAGACAGATGGACAGAGACAACACCTCCAACAAGGGATGATTTCTCAGTTTGTGTCTCTGTATCTCTGGCAAGCACACATGACCTATACCACAAATCTCTCTCTCTCAAAAAAAGAGAGAAATGAAAATATGGAAAAAACTGGTCCCTGGTGCCAAAAGGATTGGGGACCACTGATATAATAATAATTGGGAGTGGAAATGATACTTTCAAGCTTAGTATTTTTTTTTTTTTTTGGAGAGGTTTTTGCTATAGGGTGCATGCGCTCACCAGACAGACAGAGAGAGACAGAAAGCAAGAAATCACCCCCCGGGGGGATGGTCACGCCACAATCCCTTCTCCTCCATTCTCCTCTCGGGATCTTGGGCACGCACACACACGCGCCCGGCGTGAGTTCTAAGCCACCAGGTTCGGGATGCGAACCACGATCGACTACGTGGGAGTCCAGCGACATAGCCATTATGCTAACTGCTGGTTCCCCAAGCTTAGTAATTTTTTTAAAAAAGTTTATTTATTCATTGAGTGAGACACAGAGAGACAGAGACAGCACTCCCAACAGGCTCCTGATGCCATGATCCACCCCCAGCCTCAGCCAGCCCTGGATCCCTGGCACATCCCAGCACAACGAGTGAAGTTTCTACCTGTGAACCTTTAACCTTCTTCCTATGTGGGTCTGCCTTGCAGAGTGCTGTGTTTTTCCACAGTGCCACAGTCTGGCCACGTGAATGAGAAATGTTTAAGCATTTCAACTCTGAAGTCCTACACAAATGTATTTACCACCAGCTGTTCCATCTGCAGCTAGTGAATATCTACTCACATGCGCAACAGTCATTCACACCTTCCAACTGGACAAACCCATTCTGCCCAATGATTAATGAAAATATTGAAATCTACATACTGCATGCATCCACATTCAATTATTTCACCTCTCATAGCATGCAACAAATTTAATTTACTGTCCTCTGAACTACAAACTTTCCCTTTTTTTTTTTAAGAGAGATTTTTGCTATAGGGCCCATGTGCTCATTGGAGAGAGAAAGCTAGAATTCACCCCCCAAGGGGGATAGCCATGCCACAATCCCATCTCCTCCATTCTTCTCTAGGAATTTTGGGTACATACACACACCCACCTGGCATGAGTTTTAAGCCACCGCACTGGGGACACACACCATGGTCGACTACGTGGAAGTCCAGCACATAACCATTATGCCATCTGCTGGTCCCCCAATTTTCCCTTTTCTATAACAGACTATTTTCTTTCACAAGTACTATTATTCCAGAATTCATGTTGTATGTATCCAAATGACTTTCCAAATAAGTATTATTTTTATCTAGTGCCAACTCTACATTCAAATTTTCCCTTATGGAGATGTTGAAGAAGGCCTACATTAACTCTAAGATTAATTGGAAATTCTTAAGACTTGATTTAAAGTCTTCTTTTAACTCATGAGGCAAAAATAATTCCTTTCTCCAGTCATGCCCACATTGGTGGTGTTACTTATTTATAAATACCATAAAGACTGAGACCACTGACAACCTACGTTTAAAAAGCCTTTATTCCTGGCCGGGACCGTCATCCTCCCGCAGCAGACAGGCAGCGGTGAGAATGTCAGCCCCAACCATAGCTTTGCAGAGCACTTAAAGGCAAAAGCTGCAAAGGGATTGGGGCTTTTCAGGGCTTCCCGACAAGAGGATTTCCAAATGTCGGGGAAAGGTCTGGAAAGCGTGCTTGGAAAGCGTGCGACAAGGGTTTTCAGAGAAGGAAGAAAATGAGGAGGAAGTGCTGAAGGTTGGAGTTGTAAGTGTTGCAAGGGAGTTGCGAGGAAAGGCTGCAAGGACTTCTGGGACGGGGGCTGCTGGGGTTGTGAAACCGCAAGGGTACAAGGTGGGCGTATTTCCTAACAACTTTTTGCAAGCCGTTTACAGAAGCAGAACAGCAGTTATTTTGTCTTTACAACATTCTTAATCACATTTGGGTGGGGCTCGTGGGGCGTTTTCGTTGGACAAACTCCATTTTGTGCCTTTCCTATACTGCAGTCTGCCACACTGGTAGTTTTATTACCAAGTACAGCAGTTATCATTTCCAGAACTTTGGTTACATACACATACTAGTTACCTTAAATTCATATCAATCCAGATTTTAAAAAATGAATAATGTAATATAGGACCCATATGGTATCAGAAAAATAATACACTTAGCTAAGCAGTTACTGGAAGCTTTTGTTCAGCTTTTTTTGTTGCCGTTTTAATTCTACCCACTACGCCTGGTATGAGCTAATCAACTGAAGGAACGATTTGTTTTCTCTCACTGAGAATTAATGAAAGCAACTAGGCAAACAGAAAAGTCCAACCACATTCCGTTTTCAGAAAAACTAGGGATGGACATAATTCACAGGCCCAAAGCTCTCTCATGGGCAGGCAAAACCAGTCAGGTAGATAGAGCACCCAGAGCTGACTGGCAGGATAAGCAGCAGCAGCCCTGGGCACGCCCCTGTGCTGCGCGGGTCTCCACGCTGTGGGCTTCGATTATGACTCGTGAGGCAGCAGGGGTGTGGCCTGGGACCATCCCCAGGCAGCACAGCGTAGACAGAGACACACAGTCCACTGAGAAGGACACTGGAAGTGGGCACAAGACGTTGCCCTGGAGCTCAGTGCTAGGCCAGTCAGTGGGAGGGCCAGCTCTGGACAGGTCCTGACAGTGCCTAGTCCCAGGCCAGCGACAGAGTGGACTCACTCAGGTCCCCGGCGGAAAAGTCAGACCCAGCGAACTGAGTACCATTTCCAGACCCTCTCCTAGTCCCTCTGTGCAGGAATAACGGACCAATAGCAGACTTGCAGCATACCTGGGCTGAGGGCGCCCCCTAGTGCTGTAATGGCGTCAGTGACCACAGGCTCAGAGACCATGATAGCTGCTTAGAATGGCTGACAGGAGGGACTCAGGCAAAGTCAGACTGCAAAGGCTGGAATCCTTCAATGCGCAGTTGCTGTTGCACGTCCGTAGACATTAAGAGCATTCAGGAACTATGAGCTCACCAAACGGACAAAATAAGGCACCAGAGGCTGACCCCAGGTAATGGAGATCTATCAGGGAATTCAAAATAGCTATTTTAAGAAACTTGATGCATTTCAAGAAAACAGAGAAGCAATTCAGTAATTTATTAGAGAAACATAACAGAGGGATTGAAGTAGTTTTAAAAAGTCAAACTGAAGGGACTGGCAGAAGGAGTGTTATGGTGATGTACTCGCACACGGTCCACAGCAGACCTGGCAACGTACTTGCTTTCTCACTTCCCTGTCTTTCTCTGGCCAAATTAACTAACTAATTAATCAATTCTCTCTCTCTCTTTCTCTCTCTCTCTCTCTTTTTTTTTTTTTTTGAGAGATTTTTGCTAGTGGGCACATGTGCTCACCAGAGACACAGAGAGAGAGAAAGTGAGAAATCATCCCCCATCCCCATCCCCTCCAGGAGCATGGCAACACTACAATCCCTTCTCCTCCATTCTCTTCTCAAGATTTTGGGCACACATGCACCCTGCTTGAGTTTAAAGCCCCCAGGTCCAGGACTTGGCGTAGTCAGCCATGTGGGAGCCCACTGACATAATCGCTACACCATCTGCTGGTCCGTAGTTAATGAATTCTTTTTAAAAAATCAACTGAAGTTCCAGGAGCTGAAAAATACAATAAACTGCAACAGAAAAACAATTGAACAGAAGAAAGAATGAGTGAATTCAAAGACAGAGAGTTTGAAAACATAGTCAGGGAAGGAAAAAAATGGGAAAAGAATGAAAGGCAACAAGGAAAGCATACAGGAACTAAAGAGCAAATGGGCAGGGTATTAGGGTTCAAGAGAGACTTTCGAATGCCAGAATATGGAAAGATTATTCAACAAAGATAAGAAAATGTTTCCCAAACCTAGAGAAAGATACAGAAGGCTCAGAGATCGCCAGATTCAACCCAAATGACTCCACTCTGAGACATATGGTGAAGTTCGAGGTCAGAGGCCAAGTGGGTTCTGCAATCAAGACGAGGCAAGATGCAGGTAACACAGGAGATGCGACGGCAGTGGCTGAGAGGACGAGTGGACTGCCCTGATCTGACCGTTACACATCGATCTCACCTGCTGAAAAACCACAATGACCCCACAAATGTGGACGGTTATTTGTTAATTAGAGGAAAAGAGAGTTCCAGCTTGTCTGATGTCAGACTTCTCAGCAGACACCTACAGGCCAGGAGGGATGGGATGGTAGATTCCAAGTGCTGAAGGGCAGAAACTGCCAGCGAAGCAGACCGCGCCCGGTAAATGCGTGCTCCAGGAATGAAGGACGTAGACTTTCCCAGACCCACAGTTCTCAGAGAATTTATCACAGCAGGTCTGTCTTACAACAAGTGCCTTTAATCATTACACGTGATATTCCTGCACTGAGAAACCACATTGTACCCCACAAGTATGTGTGAGGATTGTATGTGCAGAATAAAGAAGGCCAGCCGCTGCTGTGGTGGGGAAGGCGGCTGGATCCCACATGGCCGACTATGTGACGCGGGTCCCAGACCCAGCAGCTCGAGAAACACACTGGGCGCAGGGGTGTGCAAGCCCAAAGTCCCGAGAGGAGAACGGAGGACTGTGGATGGCCTCCCCTCCTCCCTGTGGTGCTGCTTTATTACCTGCTTTCTCTGTCTCTGACACCAGTGCATGCACCCTATAGTAATTTTTGTAATTAAAAAAAAGAATAAAGAATAATCAAATTAGAAAAAAAAAAACAAAAGCAATATGATTGTTAAATAAACCAAGAATTGGCTTCTTGAAAAGATGAATAAAATAAGCAAAACACTGAAAAAACTTTTCTAATGTGTAAGGGAGTTTTTCAAATTGAATGAGACACTGATGTGTAACAAGAAAACCTCAGAAGGTACCGAAATCACTGGCAAAGGTAAGTATACAAACAAAAAGATAGTGTAAAAGTAGTACACAGACCACTTATATATTTAGTATGAAGACTAAAAGACAAAACTGTAATAGGGACCAGCAGTTGGCGTAATGGCTATGTTACTGAACTCCCATGTAGCCAACCGCGTTTCGAGTCCCAGATCCAGTGGCTTAAACTCATGTCGGGCGCGTGTGCATGCATGCCCAAGATTCTGAGAGGAGAGTGGAGGAGAGGGGATTGCGGTGTGGCCATCCCCCCTGGGGGGTGATTTCTTGCTTTCCATCTCTCTGTCTCTCTCTATCTTTCTGGTGAGCACACGTGCCCTATAGCAAAAACCTCTCCCCCCCCCAAAAAAAAAAAACTAATAAAAATTACATTCATTTTTCAAGAGAGAGAATAGAGGGAGATGTAAAGTGGAACATCAAAATAAGGAAGGAGGATGAAATTAAAGTCTAGAGGTTTTTTCTTTTTTATTACCTTTTTTCTATTTCTTAGCTTCAAAGTTACATTGCCATCAGTTAAAAGTAACTTGTTAATACTATAAACGATTTTTTGTAAGTTTCATGGTAACTGTATGGCAAAAACCTATAATAGATACAACAAAATAATAATAGAATGCAAGAAATTAAAACACATGACTAGAGAAAGTCATTTAATCACAAAAGAAGACAGTAAGAAAAAGAGAAAGGAAAAAAGAACTTTAAAAAAACCTGTAAAACAGGTAACAAAATGGAAGTAGACCTTACCTCTCAATAATTTACCTTAAGCTAAATAGGTTAAGTTCTCCAATTGAGAGACTGAAGCGAGAGTCACTGAGAGTGACTGAGTGTATTGAAAAAAAAAAAAAAAAAAAGACCCATCTCTATGACCTCACAAGAAACTCACTTCAACTGGAAGGACACACATAGACTGGAAGGGATGGAAAAAGAGATATTTTATGCAAATGAAAACCAAAGAAAGCAGGAGTAGTTAAAGCATGAAATAGATTAAATTGAACTCTTCTCAAGTTATTCCAAAAATACTGAAGGAAAGAGAATCTTTACAAACTCACTCTAGGAGGCCAGCGTCATCTGCATACCAAAAGCAGGCAAGAATACAACAAAAACTATAGGCCAATATCCTCGATGAATACAGATGCAAAAATCCTTAGCAAAATCCTAGCAAACTGAATCCAACAGCACTTCAAAAAAAATGTTTACAATGATTAATTAGAATTTATCGCAGAAAATTCAAGGATAGTTCAATAAATGGAAATCAAGGATCAGCAGATGGCGTAATGGTTACATTGTTGAACTGTCACATAGTCGACCACGTTTTGAGCCCTGGACCTGGTGACTTAAAACTCACGTCAGGCACATGTGCGTGCATGCCCAAAATCCCAGGAGGAGAATGGAGGAGAAGGGATTATGGTGTGACCATCCACCCTGGGCGGAGGGGGGGAGTGATTTCTCACTTTTTGTCTCTCCAGCGAGCAAATACATGCATCCTATAGTAAATCTCTCTCTCTCTCTCTCTTTTTTATATGCAAATCAATAAACAGGTAAAACTGGCTTCATGGCATAGCAGTAATGTTTTGCTCAAGAGAAGCTAAATCCCTCATGGCGATCAAGGTACAAATCCCTGACCTGATCTGAATCCTTAGCCGGCTTCAAATTCCCAGCCTAGTCAGACTGAAACATACAGATATGTGTGTGAGCACCCAAAATGCAATGGATGGGGGTAAAGATTGGTAGAAGGGGATTATGGCATGACTAGACCTTATGGAAGGTGTCATATCTCTCTCTCCTTATCTTACTCTCTCACACATGCATATGTTTTATTATGAATAAGGAAAAAAGACAACAGGATAAAGGATAAAATTGTATGATTATCTTAAAGAATGAGAAAGAAATACAGGGCAACTAAATTGGAAAGGAGGAAGTCAAATACCTTGTTTGAAGACAATATAACATTTTATATAGAAAATCCACCCACCAAAAAAAAAGTAAAACTAATAAATGAATTTGGTAATGTTGCAGGATACAAAGTCAACATACACAAATCTATCATGTTTCTATGTGCCAATAGTAAATTATCCAAAAAGAAAATCAGGAAAGCAATCCCTATTAACAATATCTGTTGAAGATAGTTTTATAGTTTTATCAACTGGACTAGGGATAAATGTTCACAGGTTGGAATATTCACTTTGCAAACTAAAGAATGTGATTGAATGTATAAAAGAAAATGAAATAAATTTTTAAAAAATAGCCATTAATAGTAGCTATAAAACATACCTGGAATAAACTTAACCAAGATGGTAAAAGATCTCTACAATGAAAACTATGAAAGAAACTGAAGATACTGAAAGACACCAAATAATGAAAAGATGCACCACTTTCATGCACTGAAAGAATTAATATTATTAAAACAGCCATACTACTCAAAGTCATCTACAGATTCTATATAATCCCTACCAGCCAAACATACCATTCTTTGCAGAAATAGAAAAAAAATAATAAAATTTGTATGAAACCACAAAAGACTCCAAATAGCTAAAGCAATCTTGAGCAAAATGAACAAAATTAGAAACATCACACTACCTGACTTCAAAGCATACTCAAAGGGGAAACTGAACAGCAATGCAGCAGTACACCACGATGCTCTATAAGACTAAGCCACATGGAAAGATTCCAGGTGTATGTCTCAGATCTGAATATGCCAGGCATACATGTCCCCATGATCTAGGGTTAGCTGAAGCTAAGGGTGGACTGTGTCTCAAGATCCTATTGTGACTGTTGTCTCTCTGTCTCTTTCTCTGTCTTCCTCATTCATAGGGGGAAGAAGCTTAAAAACCATACTTAAAGCTGTAGTAACCAAAACAGCATGGCACTGTTATTAAAACAGACATACTGACCAATGGAATAGGATAGAAAACACTGGAGTAAATCCATACATTTATAGTCAGGTGATTGTTGACAATGGCACCACGTACAGCCAAAGGACACCATATTCAGTAGCGTTGGGAAAATCAGATATCCGAATGTAGAAGATTAAAATTAGCACTGTATTTCTCACTATATACAAAACTTAACTCAAAACGAACAAAAAACTTAAAAGCAGGACCAAAAACATGAAATTAC